GATGTCTGCCTAAAGAGACGTCTGGTCTGAACAACGCGGCGATGTTGGGATCAGGGTGTTGGTCCAGTGTCTGTGATCAGGACTAGAACTGCCTGGACTGCTTTTCATTAAAAAGTGCCGGGGGTGTGAAACCACGGTGCAGATGCAGAAACTGCTGATCTTCCACATAATCTTAGAAAAAATCTGTGCCATGCCCCGTCGGACTCAGGCTATAACTTATGTCACTGGCAGCAGAAAGATCCCATTGCAACGGCCAAGATTTTTAACATTGACTAGTGGTGTGGGGTACCTCGTCTGAGACGCTTTAGAGGGCCTTGATCCTCAGAGGGTGGGTGCTTGGCAATTGGGCCCCTTTTAAGGGGCCTTAATTTGGGAGCCCCAGAACCGAGGCACCCAAATTCACCAGTCGCTTTTGGAAAGCCACGCCTGATCTCTGCTTTGTCACATCTAAGGTAGAGCGTGCCGCAAAGGGCGGCTTCATATCTTCCCGTGTTTTGTAAATGGAGCACATCCCCTCTGGAAGTTTATCGCAAGCGTCTGTGTAACCCCACAATGTCATTGGTGGAATTGCTTTTCAGAGCACGGTTTCCCTTTTGATCTCTTCATTAAACGGGGGAAAGAAAGCAGGCAGATGATTCTGGGCGGCCGCAGTTCCCCTGCACTCTCAGGTCCCCCGGCAGCAGAGAGTTCCCTGGTGACACTTGCGTCCCTTCTTATCTTTGTTTCTATTCAACTCCACCAGCCACTGAAGCAAAAAAAAAAAGTTTAATGGAAGAAAAATTCATTTGAAATCTTATTTGAATGCCTGGATTCCCCCAGGCTGGAAGGAGTTTTGATTCTCTTGTTTTTAATAGTTTGTTTTTTATCTGGGATGCCTGCGGGGAAATCCTGTAACCACCAGTTAGGAATAAAAACGCATTAAAGCTGCATGTGAAGAAATGTTTTGTTGTTTCTTTTCCCTTTTTTTTTTTGCTGTCACTACTCGGGCCTGGCTCTCTCTGCTCCGTGCTGCAGTCGAGAGCTCAGTGCGTGAGAAAAGGTGAATAAGCAGAAAGAACCGCTCTTAGTCCTTGGAAATGCCAGCCCCTGACATTTCCTTGTGGCTAATGCTGGTTCCACCCCTGTTAGGTTCTTCGGGAGCAGACAAGCCGTATGCATTTTAAACACTTTTTTGACCAAATCTGCTCTTCATCCTAAAGCTCAAAGCCAATGGTTCTCAACCTTTGTGATACCAGGGACTGGCTTGCTGCCTTCCTAAAGTGTCAGGGAGGTCTTGGGGACCAGAGCCGGACCCGACGTTGAGAAACGCTGGTCTAAGCCGCCTAGTCAATGGAGAGGTGCTCATCACAGCTGATACAGGGTATGTCTGTGTCTACACAGCAAAAGCCTTGAATCCAGCGAGTGCGGGTAACCATAGCAGTGACTACACCACAGTTAGCAAGATGAGGGTGTACCCGGGGTCCGCTCCGGGCTTGCACTATCCATCCTGCACTGTGTTCGCTGCTAGCCACATTCAGATTAGCACAGGTAGGCCTAGCCCCTGCACATCTTTTGCTGTGTAGAGGTACCTATAGAGGGAACCTTTCCCCTGTCGTGTCTGTCTCAAGGGGTTTGTGCTGACACCCAGCTCTGTCCTATAGGATGGCCGGCTGCATTCAGTAGGTGGGTGATAGCATAATCCTTGATCAGCCGGGTGGAGTAGTAGGCGTCCTGCTCCCGACACCCATGTGGGATTTGGATAACTGGGCGTAACGGGATGGAATTGAGCAAAGGAAAACTCCAGCTGGAATGCTGGGCCTTCTGGCTGCTTTCCCCCCTATTTTTGGCGTTGGTTAGAAATGACCGGGCAAAGCCCAGGAAGCCGTTCTGCACCTACAGGAGGAGGAGCAAGAACCAACAGGTTTATCAGCCTGGTGGGGCTTCCCACGTGCGGGATCAGAGACTGCAAAGACCTGCGGGGTGGCGGGGGGACCCCACTCCGCCGAGTCTGGGGTTGGTCCCTATGGTACACTGGAGTGTGGTGTCCAGTCTGTATCCCATTGGATACCTCCCTAGACTCTGAACAGCTTCTCTTTGCCTGGCTGAGTTCTGCGAGGGCTGCATCTCGGATGCTTTTCTGGTTACACCCAGTCACTGGCCAGGGGCTAGTGTGGCTACTCAGAGATTCAGGCAGTACCTGCATGTTAACCCTTTCGTGACCAGAGCAGGGAAGTTCTTAGCGTATCATAGAATCTCAGGGTTGGAAGGGACCTCAGGAGGTCATCTAGTCTAACCCCCTGCTCAAAGCAGGACCAATCCCCAATTTTTGCCTCAGATCCCTAAATGGCCCCCTCAAGGATTGAACTCACAACCCTGGGTTTAGCAGGCCAATACTCACCACTGAGCTATCCCTCCCCCCCCCATACCGTAAAAGAATGTCATCTTCTGTGGGAGGGGAGGTATACGGCGCTCAGCTAAGGTTTAAGTGGCACAATTAAAGCCTTGTTAATGATCTTTTTCCCATCAGTTACTCTATCATGCTTTATTGATCTGTTGATCTGGGATGTAAATTAAGCTGCAAGAAATCAAGCCTCACTGACAGGTGCTCCTAAACCAGGAGCTTTAGCTGCTGGGCAGGATCCAGTTCCAAGTGAGGCTTCTGCATACATGTTCAATGTAGCCTGATACCAAGGTCCAGAAGCTGTCTCCAGGAAGGAGCAGAGAGCGACTATGAACCACGTGCTGAGGAAGGAGCGCAGAAAGCTTAGTCTGATGGAGTATCTCTGCTGGCTCGAACAGAGTTGTATTGGGGTCAGCCATATGCAAGAGAGACCAGTGGGGCCAGAGACCTCTTGTTCAGGCATTGCGGCGATCACAGTGGGCACAAGAAGTTTGGAGGCTTTTCTATCTGGTCATGTTGTAAAGGAGGCTGGGCCTGATTCATGGCATGGTAATGCAAAGAAGTGGAGGGGTGGAGTTATGCGAAATAATTTAAGAAGGCTCAGAGTTAGGGGGCAAGAGGGGGTCAAACTCCAAACTGGGGAAAACTAAGCTAAACCTAGGGGAAGCTGTTCTGGCAGTGCAACGGATTCAGCTGAAGGACAGATACCCAAGGGAAACGCTTGGGGGAATAGGGGGAATCCCCATCATGTGGCACATTTGAAAACTAGGCTAGGCAAACCCTAAGCAGTGTGCCATAGGGCATTGCCCTCTTAGTCAGGGAAGGGGCAGGCTGGTGCTTTGTCCCTTCTCTGGATTCCTACGCTGCGGTGAGACACCCGCGGCTGGCTTGTGCCAGCTGACTCCTACTTGTGGGGCTCGGGCTAAGGGGCTGTTTAACTGCATGGAGATGCTCTGGCGTGGGTTGGAGCCCAAGCTCTAGAGCCCTCCCACTTTGCAGGGTCCTAGAGCCCAGGCCCGATGTCTCCACTGCAATTAAACAGCCCTTTCACCTGAGCACCGGGAGCCCGAGTCAGCTGGCATAGGCATGCCGAGCTAGCTTTGATCTAGCGAGAGTGGCTAAAAATAGCAGTGTCGATGTGGTGGCCTGGACCCCAGTGCTGGCTAGCACTCAGTGTGCACACAGATTTGTGGTGGGGTTTGTGCAGCCCAAGCTGAAGTCCGTGTCACCCCGTCTTCACTGCTGTTTAGCCAGGCTAGCTAGCTTAACGCTCGCTCGGGTATCCTACCTGAGCTGCAGTTACGCCTCTGGTTGCAGTGTGGACCTACCCCAACCCTCCATCCCCTGTGCATTAAAGGTGAGATGAAGGTGTCTGGTCTTCTGACCACAGCTGGAAAGGGAAGGATCCATTCTGGGAGCAATAGGGTGGTGCTCTTCAGAGAACGTCCTGGGAGCCGTTCAGATGAAATGAGCCCATTGGGTCGGCTGAGGGGCTCTTGTTGACTTTCCTCCTTGTGTTGGAGGAGAAGTGTTGCTGGCAGAAGTTTCTCTAGTTGTAGAAGTTCCTCTGTCTTGTCCATCAGAGACTAGTCTCCTGCAGCAATTTGGGCAGCTAAGGTGCAGAGGGGTTCGGAGCGGTTTGGGTGCAGCTACTACCCATGGTTGGCTGGGCAAGCCAGTGTTCCAGGCCAGGGCGTCTGGGCAAGGTGCGTACGTGAGAATGGATGTCTAGAAAGTGACTAAATAAGATACATGACGTGGGCAGTCACCATGCAAGGAGCTGCTGGACTCAAGGATGGGACTCTCCCTGGAGCCCTGCATTCCCCACCTAGTTTTGAGCCACGTATGGGGATCTTGCAAATATGATCTGTCCCCACCCCAGCTCCCTGCTAAAACAATAGCTGGGTGGGGACAGAAGAGGCTGTTTGGAGAAAAGTAGGAAATAAAAGTAGGGAAGCCATGTCGTGAGAAATGTGTGATGTTAGCTCATGGCTTCTAGTGTGTCCTCGGCTATAAATGATGCTGGGCCAGCACCCTTGAAAGTTGGAGCACTGGATGGTAATATCGCGGCTGCTAATCTCTGTTCCTGTCTGTAAATGGGCTGTCCTATTGGTTAATCACTGGACTGGGACTTCGGAGATCTGGGTTCTCGTCCCAGATCTTCTACTTGGGCACATCACTCAGTCGTCTGAGCCTTAGTTCCACGTCAGTGAAATCCGGCTGATGCTAGCACAGGGGCACTGTAAGGATAAATACATTGTTCGCGAGGTCGTCTTGTGCAATAGTGCTGGAGGCCACATAACTACTTCAGCGGGATCTGCACTCCCCCAACTGGAGGGCAGGGAGCACTTTAGAACCCAGCTCCCAGTGGTGTGACTTGGGGCCCGCTTCTAGTTTCTTGCTGGATGGGGACATTTTTTCTCGAAGAAGCAGGGCTTGAAACCTCTCTTTTCCTGGTGCGATGGGCAAAGACCCCTTCTGGAGCTTACAGACAGCTGGGGCTCTGATCCCCTCGGCTCTGTGTGTTTGGAGGGATTCGGGGAGCGCTGGGCGGGAGGGAACGGTCTATATGAAGACCTGCAAAGCTGTTAACTTCCCCTGCCTGCTCCACTTGCCACAGGGGAGGAGAACCAGCCTGGATGGATGTGTCCTGACGAAGACAAGAAAAGCAAAGCTCCCTTCTGGTGTCCCATCCTGGCATGCCGCATACCTGCCTTCTCCTCCAACGCCCTCGACCTGCAGGTAAGAACCCAGCATCTTCTCTTCTCTTCTCTTCTCTTCTCTTCTCTTCTCTTCTCTTCTCTTCTCTTCTCTTCTCTTCTCCCTCAGCCTGCTTAGAACGCCAAGGAGAGCAGATGTGGGGTGGGCTGTTAGACTGCCTTTCTGGGGCCTCTCTTTGCCACTTGTAAGGGATGTGGGGACAGGTGCCCCGGTCAGTGCTGCTAAGTAGGAGACTGGAGGTTTTCATGTCACTTTGGGAGATGCTCACAGGAGGTGGTGAAGGAGGGTTTCTTGGTCTCAGAGGATTGGACGCCTCTACTGTGGGACTGGTCCCTGGTGGTAGAATCGGGGCGAGTCCTTGTGTGGCTTTTGTGGCTAGATGCTATTAAAAGGGAGGATAGTGGCTCAGGGATGTGAGGGGAGTCTCCGGAACTGGACTGCAGGCACTGCTCCATTGATGCTGGCACACCTGTCACAGGTAAGCCTGCCCTAGGTATTGTGGTCAGCTTGCTCAGATCACGGGCGGTGGTTGGCTTATAGTGCAGAAGTCCCTAGGAACCCCAGTTGTGAGCCAGGGGCCCCACTGTGCTAGGGCTGTACGAACACAAAACAAAAAGCCAGTCGCTGCCCCGGAGAGCTGGCAGTCTAAGTAAATGGTACAACCTTGTCATGGTGTGACACAAGCCTGGCGACCTCCCAAGTTAGGAACGCATGGATAGCGACGGTCCCCCTGTGAGTTAAGACTCGGGGGTATGGATTGGACTGGCCGTCAGAGATCCTGGCTCTGTCACTAACTCACTGAATGACTCTGAGCAAGAGACTTAATCTCTCTGTGCTCCATTCCCAGCGTGGGGATACCAGCACTTAATTTCTGCTCCATTGCTCTGGTCTTTTTCCACTGTGATCTCCTCGGGGCAAGGACAGTCTGTCTGTAGATGGATGGACAGCACCTAGCGGCATGGGACCCCCATCTCAGTTGGGGCCTCTCGGCACTACCAAGATAACAGGCAGCCACGTTTGCCTATCCATGGGGATACTGTAGCGGGATGCTACAAATGACCCACGTTAAGTGGGTGGATGCAGCGTTTCAGGAAACAAGCCAGCGAAAGCCACTCGAAAGCTCCCGTTAGTTCTTGCGCACAGAAACCAATGTGGTGCGGGGATTAACGACAGGCTGAGCCACGACTGCAGCTCTTGCTTGGTGACCTGCTTTCTTTCGGGGTTGTCCTGGGAGCTCAAGGTGTAATCAGCCGGCCGGCCTGTCCTTGCAGCATGCTGCTTTCCCGACAACAAAACTGGTTTGGTCTTGGCTGCCTCGCCACACTCTTTACAACACCCTGCCTCTGCTTCGCTCCTGACTGCTGTGTGGGGTGGGAGGGCTTGAAGGTTCGCTCTGCTCCTCGCACCTGCAAAACCCTGCTGACCTGCTCAAGCAGCCACTCAAAATACCCATGTGGGGGTCCTGATCCGCCTGCCTTGCTCCTGGAGTTGAACTGCTGCAGGGCTGCTTGGGGGGAGGGGAAGGCACTGATAAGCAGGGCGATTTTTTTTTTCCCCGTGCGTGCTCCAGCCCCCGAGAACCTGTGGAGTCAGTCCCTTGGAGCCACAGATGTAGAGCGTGAATCAGGCAAGGTCATGGGGAGATGGGAAGGGGTGGACTCTCCTTTCCACCGTCTAATAGGGAACAAAATGTATTGTGTGCCCCAAGCCCTCTGCAGGTTCAGTGCATCGACACATGCATGTGCTATGGAGAGGGTATGGGAGGCTGGTGGCTTAGGGGGAAGGCAGCCAATTAACCCTCCCAGCAGCCTTCTGATGTAGGAGAGTCACATCCTCATGGGGAAACTGAGGCAATGCCAAGGATAGAACCCAGGAGTTCTGTCTCCTCGTCTCTATCCACTGGACAGTGCTGTCTCTTGGTGCACCATAGCTAACAGGTGTTAGCAGGCGTCCGCCTGTCTCCTCTTGCTTCTGTTTCAAGAGACGCGGCCTGTACCAGCCCCGCAGCCTCTCTCCTCCCACCCCAGCTTCCCTGTTGCCATTCATGACAGAAGTCACCCAATCAGCGCTCCATCAGCGGGATGAATTAGGGCTCCCCAGCGCTGGGGTTTTCATCCAATTACCGACAGTAACAGATGTGATGTTGTCGAGCCGCCGGCTCCCTTCCCCCTCCCCCAGCCGGCTCCGGCGGGAGCCTTTGTCAGCGGAGGAATACATTCCTTCTGGAGCCCTCGCTGCGGTGCCGGCTAATTAGACCAAATGGCGGGCTGTCTCTCTCGGGGGGGAGCAGGGCTGTGTGTGTTTTGCAGGCGTGGTGCTTTCTTATCAGCCCTGCCATAGATTCTGCTCTGTGCAGTTTTTTTAAAATGCTAACAAGGGCACTAGCTGGAAGAGGACAACGCTCCTCTTCTTCTGTCTTTAATCTACAAAGTTCCTTTGCCGTGGTAATATCCTTCCCTCCTGTCCCCGTGGAGTCTGTGTCGCTTTTGTGATGTCCTCTGACTTCAAACACTTGCCCGAATCGCACGGGTCCCAGGAGCTGAGGACCTACCAGTCTCTTTCTGCGGAGCCTTAAACTTTCCAGATCCCTCACCAAATTCAGACTAAGCCCTCCGGTTCTCCCCCCTCCACTTTGCTCTGCCAGCAGCGAATCATCACTCAGATCTGCACCAGCTCCTTCCCTAAGCGGATCGTAGTCGGTGCCAATTGGGAGGTGGCCTCGGTCCCTTCTGGGAAAAAATCCAGTCTGGTCTTTGCTTGGCACTGTGCGCAATGGTGCTGAGACAAGTCCCCGGCTCCATGGATGTGCTTGGAATGTGGAGGCGGGGAGGGTGTGCCTGGGGGGCTCTCTGTACCCACTCACTCCCCTGTGGGGCTACAGGAGGAAATGGAGAGAATCCCAGCTGGCAGTGCCTAAATCCTTGCTGGGCTTCTCTGCCATGGAAGGCGCCAAAGGGTTGTAGTTTGCTTCAGTATCCCCCATCCTCAAAGGGCAAAAAGCTTGTACCCCAGCATTGGTTGCACTGCAGCAAGCTTCCTGCAAGGGTTTCCATGCTGGACCAGTGCCGATCCCAGGGAATCTGTGCCAGGACTGTGCGTGCCTGGATACCTATCAAATCCCTGCGCCGAGGGATTCATTAGGGTGGCGATCATCGGCAAAGGCCTTGACTTCTCCACCCTTTGCCACCTGTTTTATTCCCTCCCATCCCTCACTCTCCTGGCATCTCCTTTTGCCACCTGATCCATGGCTCTTACGGCCCCCTCCCCGCTCCGTCTATGAGAGCGACTTCTCCAGCCCATTCCTAGCAGATGGGCTGGGCCTTTGAATGAATAAATGACGTCAGTCAATTAAAACAAAACAAAGCTAGAAAAGCCCCCATGAGAGACTAACTGGGGTGCTCATTAAAGGGCCACATGCCATCAGAAAAGGCTGTAGTCATGGGAGATGGGGTGTCCGGAGGGAGGTGCCCTCATCCGTGTGCCCTTGAAGAGCAGCGGGGTTGCCAACCTCCAGGATTGAAAGATGGTCACGTGTTAAAACCTCCAGGAATACGTCCAACCAAAATTGGCAAGCCTAAACAGCAGTTCCTTGTCTGGAGCTCTGAGCAAAAGCTTGATGGATGTGCCAAGTGGCTGGCTTTGCCAAGACCATCCATCAGTCTCCGATGCATTGGCTGGAGCAATCTGTTGTGGGCCTCCAGCCCCCTTTACCTATCCTGCTGCATGTCGTCCGTGTCCAGTTCTTGGCTTCTTAGGCCCTTTGTGGAAGCTTGGGAATACGTGAGCCCTGTCCTAGCAACTGGAGCCATGTTGTGATGGCTGCCCAAATTCATCCATGTGCCCACTGGAAACAGCAAGGGGGAGGAGGGGGAGGTATAGTTCAGTGTCTCGGGATGGGCCAGCTGAGGGGCAAATCTTGCCTGCATGCCCCACGGTTTCACTCTAGAAATCTTCCTATGTGCTTCACCTGGGGAAGGGCAGGTGGCCTGCCCATTACCGCCCTCCCTCGAAGGTTTGCTGTGTTCTGGGCTCATAGGAGCCGTGCTGGCAGAGGCTCCTGTGGAGATCCACCCAACCAGCAACTCCCTCAACTGCATCCCTCGCCAGCCCCCACCACCGACTCTTTGGGCTGGGCTGCCCTCCGCCATCCTTGCAGGCCCTGCGGTGCTGCCATAACCTGCCCTTGCCAGCATTGTGTATGGGGACCCTATGCACCAGTCCCTGCCTCCAGGCACTGGGGGGAATTGATCCCTGCAAGTGATGGATGCTTTGACTTTGCCCAAACCGCAGCACATTTAGGGTCAGGGCAACAGAAATGATTAGGGGACTGGAGCACATGACTTATGAGGAGAGGCTGAGGGAACTGGGATTGTTTAGTCTGCGGAAGAGAAGAATGAGGGGGATTTGATAGTTGCTTTCAGCTACCTGAAAGGGGGTTCCAAAGAGGATGGATCTAGACTGTTCTCAATGGTAGCAGATGACAGAATGAGGAGTAATGGTCTCAAGTTGCAGTGGGGGAGGTTTAGGTTGGATATTAGGAAAAACTTTTTCACTAGGAGGGTGGTGAAGCACTGGAATGCGTTGCCTAGGTAGGTGGTGGAATCTCCTTCCTTAGAGGTTTTTAAGACCCGGCTTACAAAGCCCTGGCTAGGATGATTTAGTTGGGGATAGGCCCTGCTTTGAGCAGGGGGTGGGACTAGATACCTCCTGAGGTCCCTTCCAGCCCTGAGATTCTATGATTCTGTCTAAACACTCCCCTGAGTGTGCCCTCTGTGTGTCTCACCTGCTGCGTTTTGCTGCCAAAAACAAGGGCTTGCTGCACTTAGAGCCGTAGATGTTAGCACAGCTATGGGAGAGCGAGCTGGGGCTTTGTTCTGACTTACATATCATCAGTTCTGGGCTTCTCTCTGTGCGGTTAAGAGGGAGAAAAGATGCATCCCTCTGTCTGCATGCGTGCTTGCATGCATCCCAGGTGGACTGTGGGGCAGAGGAAGTAGGAAAAGTCCCATGTTTGCCTTAGTAAATGGAGTCCGTTTGCTCTGATAGTTGTGGAAGGAATCAAGATGTAAGAAAGAATTTGGGTCTCTAGCTCCCCACTCGCTCTGAGAACGATTGTGGGTTTTGCAAAGGCAAAACAGCCTAGTGGTCAGAGCAGGGAACCGGGAGCCAAACAAAACTTGTCTGGTTTGTGCCACGGGAGTTCATCTGAAACTCTGCCTCTGAGGCTGATCTATCTGCGTTTGCCTACCCCCGCCCAAGATATCGATCTGTGGTTTGAAAGCGCTCCAGAGCTCAGCTGTAACTTGGTTCCATAATGGAACCTTCAGACAGGACGCCTGGCTCCATTCCTGGCTTGGCCACGAGCCCGCTGCCTGACCTTGAGCGGATCGCTTTGGGTGAGACTTAAAGAAAGCCCACCTGATTGATCCTGACCTGTGATCCCGAGTCGCATAGGTGCTGCTGAAAAACCTACCCTGGGCCTGCCTGTGATTCTGTTGCCCCATCTGTTAATAAGGCTACTTACCTGCCTCACAGGGGAGCGAACGCACTCCTTTCCAAAAGGCTGTGATCTTAACACGTGGTGGCATCCGATTCCACACTGAAGCTGGGTTGCTAGGATCCGGGTCAGGTTTTGAGATCGTGCATGAGGGCTGTGTGCCGGAGAATGGTTGTTCTCTGTCTTCCTTCCACTTCCCCAATGCAACTTCTGTTGAATTGAGATCTCTGTAAATATCCCATGCTCCTGTCGAGAAGCTGGAAAACCAGACTTCAAACCAGTGTCTCTAAAAATGGCTCTTCAAAGTCCCACGCGGCCAGAGCAGGATGGGAAGAATCGAGCATTTGATGTCTCTGCGGGCCAGTGAAATGTCCAGGCTTGTGTGCAAACCATAGATTGCTCTGCCAGGAGGCTTGGGGGAGTAGGGTTGCTGGCGGATCGCAGGGCCAGAAGGGCCATCTTCTCTACCTTGATGGCTCATAATTATGCAGCCGCGCCGCTCTGGTTTGGGAAGCATCTGATCAAATTCCACCTCTCAGCATGTTGGGGTGCAGATGGGCAGTGGGGGGAGAGCATTTCAAATCCGATGGTTGGCTCTTGCATTTATCTTCTTGCTCATATGATGATTCCCAGCAAAGCGCTGTCCAGGCCTCAACTGATGAAGTCATGTCTCTCTTCCAGCTTGGAGCTGTGGTGCACAATCCTGTCCAGTCCTCGCTGCTGGGCTTCTCTGCCGTGAGCACCTCCCTCCCACAGGGGTATCTGTGGGTGAGTACGGGCTGAGCTGGCCTGCGTGGGGAACGGTTCCTGAAAGCCGAAGGCTAGAGCATCCCGCTAATCCCAGTCTGGGCTTGCCCTCGAGGGCCCAAATTAGCTCAGGCTTGAGATGCTCAGATATCCCGGTGATGGGCAGGAGTGCGAAGAGGAGAGATGCTTTGTAAAGGATTCAACCAAGTTGGTTTCCTGGTCAATCCAGGCTAGCATGCTATGGGTGCTGTTGGCGAGTGTCAGATGGGAAGGAGATTGGCAGCAAGGGGGTGGGCAGCCAAGTGTCAGAGCCCCAGTTATGCTTGGGCCTGAGGTTTTGGTTCCTTGCATGGAAATCCGATGTTCAAGCAGGGCAGTGCGTAAACTACCCAAAGTAATTGCAGTAATTAACTCCTGGATGCTGCCTAGTGGGTCTGTGGCATGGGGTAGAGGCCCCCCCTTGCTCCACCCTCCGAGGCTCCTTTAGGGAGATCCTGTGCACCTTCTAGAGCTTGCAGACCAGGAGGGGCCGTTCTGATTAGCCTGACTTCCACAGCCCCTGGCCAGAGAGCCTGACCCAGCGTGTCCTGCATCAGGCCCAGTAACCTCCGAAACCTGGGAGGAGCTGCCATGGGCATAGTCCAAGTAGCTTGTCCATCCCAGTCTCCACCCTATGGCAAAGCCGGGGCTGAAAATGGGGCACTATATTGTTAGCAGTGGTGAGGAAGGGGTCGGGGGTGGGGAAATATTCCAGCCTGCAAGGGCTGAAGTTAAAAGCCCCTCTGGGTGGCTTCCTGCATCCCCACAGGTTGGAGGAGGCCAGGAAGGCGCAGGAGGCCAGGTGGAGATCTTCTCGCTCAACCGCTCGGTGCCCCGCACGGTGAAGTCCTTCCCGGTGGCCTCCCAGGTGCTCTGCATGGAATACATTCCTGAGAAGAGCAAGGAGGAGCAAGAGGAGGGGAAAGCGGAGGATTTGAGAGCTGCAGCTGACCAGCCCTCCGCTCCACATCCCACCATCTGTCTGGGGCTGCAGGATGGCAGGTGAGGTTTGGGCAGGGGACACCATCTCCCGAGAGTGGGGGCTCGGCTTTGCTAGCACTATGCTCTAGCAGCGCTGTTGGCTGTCCAGCTGGCTGGCTCTTCCGTTGTTCCCCGTCTTTGGCCTTCCTCCTCCTCTGCACCCCAGTAGAATTCTGAGGACAGCCACTGTCTCCCCCCGCAAATCTCAAGTCTTACGTCCCCCTCACCCGCCTCCACTCCTGGAGCAATGGGCAGGGCTGGGCGTTGAGCTTCTCCACCCCTAAGGGGGTCACTGATTTTTAAGGCTGCTCTTTTCCAAATTCTTCCGGCCCCCTCCAGCCTGGACAGTGGAAGGCAGAGACCAGGCCCTGGATAGGATCTGCAAATCAGATCAGGTAGAACCTCCCCACCCCCCATCTATCCCCCATAGCCCTCCCTGCACCTCCTGGTCTTGTCTCCACTTGATGCCAGAGGGATTCAAACTATTCTGCCCAAGCAGGTAAAAATAGTCTCCATTAGGAGCCGGTGGTTGTGAGCTTTGGGCCTTTGCAGCAGCAGGACATCTGCCACCAGCCAGGAGCCTGCAAGGACCAAGCTCTGGGCACCCACGATTTTCCCAGGCTTCGCTTCGTCTGTCTGTGGAAATCCTGGCAGCGTGTGTGTTGATTTGCCCACTGCTGTCACTTAGCTCCGTTACTACAGGCAACTGCCAACTGATGAACCTAACCTGATCACACCCACTTGTCCCTAGGGTGGAGCCCTGAGTTTGACATTGCAGACACCAGCCATGCACGTCATCAGTCCAAGAGCTCCACGTTCAGACAGAGCTGTGGGAGCCGTAGCTTCCTCCCTGGCTGGGATGTCTCCCTCCTGGGCTCCATCCCAGAGGGAATACATGTTCTGGGTTAAATCATATGCATGGAGGAGCTGGGTCGTACCTTTCTCTGTCTGGGAGCAAATGAGTGGAGCAGAAACGCTGAGAAATCAGCCTGGGGTGGCATGTTCAGAACCTGCCTTGTGCAGGTGGATCGGCTGGACCTGCTCCCGCTAACCGCTCTGTGCGTGGGACTCCCGGTGCAGTCGGTGGCTGGCAGGACTGGACTTTGCACAGGTGCTCACCATTGTTACTCTTGCCTTTCCCACTCCTTCTCCCTCTCTCCAGCATCCTGGTGTACGGCAGCGTCGACACGGGGACCCAGTGCTTGCTGACCTGCAGCCCTGGGCAGCAGCCTGTCCTCTGCCTGAAGCATAGCCCCGAGTACCTGTTTGCCGGACTGCAGAACGGCACCGTAGCTGCTTACGCCAGAAACAACGGTGAGTGTGGGAGTGGCGCACGGGGAGGCGGGCGCTTTGCTTTTGACGTGTCCTCCCCAGGGATCTGGAATGAGGCTGGGGAGACAGGAATGGTCTCCCAGCAGCAGGTCCGGTATCTTCGTCTTGCCGTTGCCCTGGCTGCGGTAGGGCTGGTAGCTAACCCTTTGCACTGGAGCATTGCCCGTAGATCCATGCCTGGAGCACGGGTGTAACATGCCCAGTGCTACCTGGGAGGGGTGGAATTGGATCTTCTTAACAGCTGCCATGCCCAGACTCTGGCCAGTGGCCTGCAGAGTAACACGGCATGTCAGAAGGGAAGGATGGGTCAGTGGCATAGGTTAGCCCCTAGGCTGTGGGAGCCCTGGATTCAATTCCTTGCTGTGCCACAGACTTTCTCTGTGACCTTGGCCAAGTAATTTAACCTCTCTGTGCATCATTTCCCCTATCTCTAAAACAGGAATGATAGTGTTGCCCTGCCTGCCTGTGGGGCACTCCGCTCCTGCAGTACTGAAGGCCATAGATGTACCAAAGAGAGATGATGTGATACGAAAGGGTCTCATATACAACAATAGTTAGCGATATATCCAGGGTGCTGATTGGATTTACTTGGCTGCAGTTTTTAGTCAGTTATTGACATTCTCTTGGCCATTCAGACACAGTAATTGTGGCCTGCATGCATGGTCCAGTGGTCCTAGGATTGGCCTAAGTCTCTGAGGGTGTCATCACAAGCAGACAATACTTAACTGACCTAACGGAGGGACAGGCTTGTCCGAAACTTCCCTGGACCCTGTAGGGAAAGTTGGTCCAAATTTATTGCCAAGTGATTTTTAAAACTTTCCCGCGATTGCGAATAAATATATATGAGAGAGAGAGATGCTAACTGGCTGTTCAGAATGCAATTGCTGGAATTCAGGATTCATAACAGCTACAGAAATAAAATCCTATTTGAGAATTATAGACTAATTTCCTATTGATGGGCTGTCACTTCTCTCTGGCATAAAAGACACTGGTTTTCTCCAAATGGCTTTTAAACTTCCTTGCTCTAACTTCTAGGTGGACAATGGACATTTGTTCCCAACCATTCAATCCAATGAGCCTTTCTTGGTCTGCCAAGCTAGACAAGTGTTTGCCAAAGTGACACATCTGTCAGGATCACTTTTTTTCTTGGCCAATTTCTCCCTTTTCCAGAAATGTCCATTTACCCGAATAAATCAAATCCAACCAAAGACTGAGACTGATGATGTACATGGCTGCTGAGGGCCAAGGCAAAGCCATAAACGCCATTCGGGTTCTCAAAATAGGGCTAAAATGGTTTCTCTGTGCTGACCATCATCTTGGTCACCATCAGGGCTTGAACCTGGGACCTTCAGAGCCCAGAGCGTGCACCCTTGCATCTTGAGCTAAAGAACTAAGCACCTGTGCTGATAATCAGCAATAGACTCATAGCCTCGGTAGATCAGGCATAGGGGAAGATGCCTGAATGGCAGGTTGTGCAGAGATTTTGTGCTGTGGATGACTTCTCCCTCTGGGTTGGACATTGGGTGTCAGGTGTTATGTAATGGCGTGGGGTGGTGAATGCTCGCTCCTCCGGCCCAGGGGTCTCTGCTTTGCTCCCTCTCCCGGTGCTGCATTAAGCAGCTGGCATGGCTGTGTCATCGCGGCCCGTTCGGGGTTATACTCTGGGGTGTGTGCAGAACTCTGACTCCGCGGGGCAGTGTGTTGGTTTTTTTAAATGAGTTTTTGATAAGGCATTTATGGGTTTTAATTAAAGAGGGAGAGGCGCAAGAAAGCCATCACCCAGGCAGGCGGGAGTGTGTGGGAATGTAAATAAGTGCATATATCTGCAGGGTTCATGCAGCACGGAGCTCTTGTTCTGTTGATTAAATACGGTCGGGAACCCGGCTCCCTGCACTGCACAGAGCAAAAACCGTTTTCAGCTCCGTCTCTGCACATCGCTCCTCTCCTCCGCTCTGTGTCATCTCCACTTCCTCCCTGCCTCTCCCCTGCTGCTGGGCTTTGCTTCTCTTGGGGATCTGACTCCCTAGGACTTGCACGACTTTAAAGATCTGCCATGCTGTTCCCCCTTCACTTCTGTTTCTAGTGCAAGGGGTTACCCTGAATAGCTGAAGGCTGGTGGAGAGTGGCTGAGAGGGTGGAGTGGGTGGAGGGCCAGGAATGAATTTCTTGGCTTGTGCTTTCTTGGGTGGCTTCTGCTCCGAGTTGCTCTTGGTATCTGCCCAGGCTTGTGGTGAAAGGGGCAGCAGACTGGTATGGCACCTGCAGGGAGCACGTGGCATTGGTTTGTAGGGGTTCCAGTGAAGACGTCTCTGGAATTCTGGGCACAGCTGTTCAGCCTGGCTTCTGGAGGCGGCATGGGCCTGTCTACTCGTGTTTTTGGCATCCGTTCAGGTGCACCTGTTGCTAGTGTCAGGGAGGTATCCAGCACGGCGGCCAGGTGCTGGGGTTCCAAGGCGTGGCGTTCCAGGGAGGGGGCCCGTGTTCCATTCTCTCCGAGGTGCAGGATCTTTAGAGGCTGCAGGCTGAGTGTTTTCTGGAATACGCACAGAGTTCTCAGGGCTGGCGGTTTGCAAAATCATCTCTTTTCGACTTTCTAAAGGGAGCAGATTCCCTCTGGAAGCCTTTCAGGGATAGCAAACAAGAGCCCTCGCGATGTCGTTCATTACAGATTCATCTCTCTGGGTCCCACTGCTCTTTAATGTTCTGCTGAAGCCATGGGAAATCTTGGCAGGACAAATCTGTGTCCATGAAAAGCGCAGTGACGGCGGACCAAGGCCAGTCAGCCCTAGCCGGGGTCTGTCACCGGGTCTCCCATGTCCGGGAAGGATCTGCAAGGAGGAAACTCGAGGTCTCCGTCCCATTGTCCTGGCCCAGCCATATAAACCTCAGAGCCACCAATGTGGTGCCATTAGGTCCCTCCAGATGTGGGTGGTTCCCATCCCGTTTAGCCTGCGCTGAGGGCCCGGTCCTGTGAGGTACTGAGCACCCTCAACTAATCTAGCAGCCAGAGATAAAGGTGCTTGATGTGTCAAAATGGGGGGGGGGGTGTTTAGCCCCCAGGCTGGCAGCTGGATTAAGACATTGCCCTCAGCCATTGTACAGCCAACAGCTGGTGGGAAGCTGCTCCGCATCACTTCACATGGGCCCCACTTCCAGAGGCAGAGCCCGGCTTGTCTCGTTGCTTGAAGGGGCTTGACTAGATGAGGATCCCGGATTCCAGTCTCCAGGAGCCCTCTGGGGCATCTGCCTATGCCACAGGCACTAGGCAGGGTGCTCTGGTCACTGGTGTGCAGAGAGCCTGGATATCCTGGTGCCATGGCTGTGGTGTGCAGAGGTCAGTCACAAGCGCACCTTGGTGCACCCCACGTGGAAGGGGATTTCTCCTTGGCACATGAGGAAGAATCCCGTGTCTGTGGGAATCCCGAGGGTCCTGATTGCAAGGCGTGGTATGGATGGAAACTGGGTGGTTCTGATATCTGGGGAGATGCGCCATCTTCACCGTGAGGGTGCAGTCTCCACCCTGTTCCGTCGCCGGGTGCCCCCTTTTACCCAGCTCTCTGCCTGCTTGCTCAGCCAAAGAGCAGTGGATTCGCAAGGCCCCCGCTGCAGCTCTTCCGGTTAATGTGAGCCTCAATTATTCATGCACTGCTTTTCTCTGGGATGCTGTTAAAGTCGGATCCACTCAGTTGCCTCCTGCCTCTCAGCAGAGGTGAGCCGGGTGTCAGGTAGATGAGCCCAGCAAGACTTCATTCCTGCTGGGATTTCCATGGCTAAATTCAGCTCCTGACTTCTGGAATTACTGACTCTCCCTCCCACTCCTAGTGTAGGGACCAAGGCGCTGAGGGAAGGTTGGGCAGTGGGAATGAAGCAGAGCTGCGTCCATGTGCCTATGAACCGTCCCATTCCCCCTATAGGGGCAGGCCCACTTTGAGGAGAACAGTTTACTGCTGCTGCTAGGGGATGGAGCTACTCCTTCGGCTCAAGTGTTGAAGTCGGTGGTTTGGGACTGAATGCCGGATGTTCTCTCACCAACGCCAGCTCACAGCGGGGGGTCACTACATACGCCTGGGGCTGGCTGGGCCACCACGTGGGTGCCTCTAGAGGTGATGGCCCACGAGGAACTCTGACCTGGCCGTGGATGGGGCTACCGAGGCTTTCCATGAGGCAATGACTGCTGCGTGTGTTGCCTTATGCTAGCGTTCAGGCTGCATCTGGAGCCTCTGAAGATTAGAGAGTTGGGGGGCCGGGGGGAGCTGCTTTCCATCCTGCATCTGGCTTTCACACGTGGTCAGTGAGACCTCATGTAGCAGTGGTGCTGGAGGGAAGGCGCTGGATCTCGATGGCTGGTTGGCGCGTAGGACTGGCAGGGGGCTGAGAAGCCCAAAGGCATCATGGGAGGCATGGGGGAGGATGATGCTGTGTGGAGCGAGACCCATATTCACCGTGTTAGGCAATACCCCCATGTTACCGCTAGAGGGCAGGAAAGAGCCGAAATGAACCTGCAGGTCTGTGCAGAGACGTTCTTAATGCGCCCGGGTCCCTCTGCCCCTCCACGAACTGAACAAAGCCGCTGTGTCCCCTGAAAGGGGCCAGGGCCGCATGGCAGCAGCGGCCCAGTCCATGGGCAGAGCCGTGCTTGGGCGGGCGTTTGAGAGGAAGGCAGGGCACGTGTCGAACAGCACAGGGTCTGAATCCACCAGCTCCCTGGACAGAGATTAAAGCAGCGGGGCCGTAGGGAAAGGCGCGTGTGAGGGAATGTGGCTGCACTAACCTAGTAGTTACAAAGAGGGAGGCTAGTTCCTGAGCTGCAGTATGATCCCGGATGGTGGGTCTCTGCTGATCCCTGTCCTCTGGCTTTACCGTGGAGCTCGGCAGTCCAGCCTTCCCAAGGCTTCGGGACACAGCCACTGGCCGAAGGCGAGCATGCAATCCGGGATGCCAGTGTACGTGCAGCATGAGCCGACAGAGTCCTCGATCCCTCTTCTGCTCAAAGGAGCTCTGCTAAGGGCCTGGGCTCGGAAGAGTAACCCCTGGGCGTCACCAAAGGTTCCCTCTCAGCCCTCGGATTTTGGAAGTCTCTTGCTGTGGCGCTACGTGTGGGTTCCCAATGGTGGAGTGCAGCAGGGTGGGGAATGTTTCTTTTCCAGTTGAGCTAAAGGGGCTTTGCCTTTGCCAGTGCTGGAGGTGGCATGTGTCAGGGGCTTGGGGTCCTAGTGAGACCAGTAAGGCTGCCTGGAAAGCCAGAGAAATCAGGGATGAGAGAGGTAAGAGCTACTCTGGGTTGAGTGTCCACGGAATGGCTCTCTCCTCGGGCCGGGCACCCCAATGCTCTTGCTGATAGTGGCTGGTGAATGTTAGGGGATCCCTTCCTCTCCCAGCTGGTGTGTTCCCATCAGCATCTCCTCTGTGAGCTGTATGGGAAACGTGTGGTGTCATGGTTGTGACAATACGTCACTGCGCTGTACTTGACACATGCCATGGTTGCTTTCTGCTCTGCTCTTTTTGAGGCAGAGGTGATGCAGAATCCGGTTGGTGAATGCAATGCCTTCAGGAAGCTGCTAAGTTTCTTTCTGTTCCGTTTCCCCCATTCCTCCTCCTTGATCAGAAGGGCAGAAATTAGCAATGCATCTGTTTACCCTCCCTTCCTCTTGCTTGGCGGGATGCCAGCATCTCAAGCTTTTGCTCCCTAAAAAACTATTTGTAGTTTCTTCCAGGGCTGCACCTCAGAGCCCAGGAGTCTCTGGGCCAGATCCCCAGCTGGCACAAATCGGTGTAGTGCCCCTGAAGTCAGTAGAGCTGTGCCAATCTATGCCATCTCTGGTCTTCCAAACCCAGGAAATGGACAAGGTGGATTACCAGGTTGCTTTCAGTCCTTATTTTCAGTTCTTCTGCAGAGATTTTTGGTGTGAAGCACCTGCTGAGGGCTGGGGAAATAATTCAAGAAGAAATATTTCCATAAATTCTCTTGCAGATTCTTAGGCCAAAAGTAACAGGTCTGTTGTTCCTTCAAATGAAATCGCTCATTTTCTGGAACAGCTGATGTTAAGTGAATATTGCAGAAGGGCTCAGAGAGCTCCAAAGACCATCTGAGATTTGAAAAACAGGCCTTATGGGGAAAGATTTAAATAGATTAAGATCATTATCTTATCAAAGAGAAAGCTAAGGGATGACTTGCTTATAAACTACAGGTACCAGGGAAAAGAGATCTGACTTTAGGAAGCTCTTTCATGTAGCCGATCAAGGCATAACAAGATCCAATAGTTTGCAGTTTAAAAAAAAAAATCACTTTGGGAATAAGATGCTAATTTTTAAGTGAGGACAATTAGCCATTGAAACAGCTTAGCAAGTGGTGGTGGTGAATTCATCACTGTAAAGCTTTAAATCCAAATTGGATGTCTTTTGAAAAGATGTTCTGTAGTTCAGCCACAAATTAATCGGCTCTGGAGTGTCACTTCAATAGCAGGAAAAAATTTCCTTCGCGGGAGGAATTACAGGGTGAAATTCTGTGACCTGTGCTATCTTGAGAAAGGAAGACTGGGGCGGGAGAGGACACCTGATAATAGTCTTCAGGGCTATGTTCAGGGCTGTTCTAAAGAGGATGATGATCGATTGTTCTCCGTGTCCACTGAAGGTGGGACAAACAGTAATGGGCTTAGTCAGCAGTGAGAGAGATTTAGGTGAGATGTCAGGAAAAACTTTCCAATTATAAGGATAGTTAAGCTCTGGAATAGGTTTCCAAGGGAGGTTTTTAAGAACCGGTTGGACAAACGCCTGTCAGGGCTGGTCTACGTTTATTTGGTTCTTGGCCTTTCCTCAGCAAAGGGGGCTGGCCTCTGGATCCTACATTTCTATGAGATTCTGGGCAGGCCTGGGCTATGAATGCTGGGTGCTGATAGTGGTTCCTTCCGGGCAGGAAAAGCTGTGAACCTTTGCAGAAGTGACTGTATGAGGAACCTGACTAGAAGCGAAGCGTATCCAGTCAGGGAATGAACCATACGACGTGACCTGGGTCTAATCAAAATGGTGAGAGTTTTAAGGTGTCAAATGTGAGAAAATTCTCCTGATCGAGCTGTGGGCGGAGAGTTATTGTCAATGACAGTTGGGGAGAAGCAAATTGTATGCTTGAAGAGAGGAGAGATTTAGTGAATAAAAATGATCTGGTGGAAATGTCCCAAAGGTGCTGAGGAACCTGAGCTGGAAACATCCCGCCTGGACTCTCGGCCATAGCGCTGTGGACGTGCTGGTTCGTGGTTTCATACTTCGGGTTGAGTTCAGCTTGGGGCTTAAAGCAGGGATTCAAACTCTCTGGTTTGTCTGAAGAACACGGTGTGTCCTCCCCAGACTTGCAGCCCTTCCCCTTTGAGTCCAGAGAAGCAATGGGCATTGAGCGGGGAATGGTTCTTCCAGACTGGGTGTGGAGCTGAATTGCCCAAACTTCCTCGAAGCCTAGGGCTCTGAGGGGCCAACTCTGTCTCAGTCCTTTGGGCAGGGCAGCTGCTTTTCAGATCTCTCTGGAACTGGGAACTGTCAATTCTGTGTATAAAACACACGCGGTTGGTTGGTGTTACCAGGTCTCCCGCTCCTGACCACCCGCAGCACCTGTCGCAGCCTGCTGGCCACACAGCCAACAGTTACTCCTTTACCGCAAGTGGGAGGGTCTTCTGCTGTGGATGCTTCAGCTCCTGAGTTTGGGATGCAGCCATGGCCAGATCCCTTCTATAGCCCACCCCCTTCTGGGAGCGTTTGAGGCTTTAAAAGAAAATACCTCACCAAACTCAGCAGAACAAACTGCCCGGCGCTCAAGCGACTTGCCCACACTTCCTCAAATAGACCCACTGACTCATAGGAGAAAAGCTTACTCGTGTACGCTGGTTGGATCATAGGAATGGCCAGGCTGGGTCAGACAGGGGCCCATCTAGCCCAGGTCCTGTCTCTGATGGTGGCCAACACCAGAAGCAAGGAAGGTGCGAGACACCTTGAAGTTGGGAGTTGAGGAATAACCTACCCGTGGGGGGCTCGGTAAAGTTCCTTCTTGACCCTGTTAGAGTGGGTGGGGATGGTTCTTTGGCCTGCAGTGTACAGGAGATCAGACCAGGTGACCTGACCTGAGAGGCTGATGTGTGCCCTGCCGCAGGAGGGGTGTCTGTCCCAGCTCGGCACCACAGTGAGAACCCCCTAGAAGGCAGCGGGCGACTGATCTGCCCCGATTCCATGCCCTGCACCACACGCCATTGGTGGCGTCCTGTCTCTTTTCGTCTCAAGTCCCTGGTTTAATCCGTAACCTCACGTCGCTTTAATTGGAGCTTCCTGAACGTCCCCGTTTCCCTGAAGAGATGCCGCCGCCTCTGTCTCTTTCAGCCGTTTGTAGAGTCGCGTGCGCTGCGGGTCGGGAGTTGGGCAGCAAAGGGATCCTTTCATGGCTCGCGTCAGGCAGGTGCCAAGAGGGGTCAACTTGCAGCAGGGGCCGATGCTCAGGAAATGCGAGGGGTGGGAAAGGTCGTTCCCGCCGCGCCTTTTGTGGGGAAATTGGCGCCGCGGGATGCCATGATGAAAGAGCCAAGGCAGTTCAGTTCCTCCTAATGTCATGCGTGTGATCTGTGCTGTTTTAGAAACCCTCCTGCCCTCGCACCCCCCGTGTCCAGCCTCTGCAAGCCCCCCTCCCTCCTGTTCCATCTGAGACACCCCCACCTTGTTCCTTGGATCCGTTTAACAAAGGGATCTAGGTAGCAGTTGGGAAGGGCTGCAAGGCTGGAATAATCACAGCAAAGGGGGGGAACATGACAGGGTCTTGTGCGAGGAACAGTCCGTTCCCCGCACCAGGACGCTCTGCGAAGGAGGCCGCAAGCCAGCCAAGTTCTGCCACCTGGCTCAGCCTGCCCCACGATCTGTTCTCCATGCCCGTGCGATGGCAGAGGAAAGGGAGTTAATTAGTCCCCTAGAGGCTGCTGCCCAAGTTCAGGGAGAGTGGCAAGGGAGCAGCTGCTGGCTGGAAAAGACGGCGTTTGCTCTATCCTCCCCAGTATTTTGTGTTCCCTGTGCAAGTAGTCCCACGCCATCCCCCCCTTGCCCGCACCTGGCAGCTTGGTTATAAATAGACCGTGCATGCTGTCAGGGCTGCAGGGAAGAGAACTGTGCTTGTTTTCCTGCAGCCACGTTCACAATGTGGAGGCATCAGGTGACTTGATTCGTAGGGGAAAGAGACATTGCAGTCCTGCTGAGCCAGCCACCCGAATTCCTGTTGCAGGCCAGCTCCTCTCCTCCACCTCCAGCCCCGATGGGAACGCCTCCGCCGACGGGCGGATGTGCTGGGGAGGGCCTGGTGTGAGGCCAGAGGCTTCCAAACTCAGGTGCATGGAGGCCTGGCCTGGGCTCTGTGGGGAGCCTTGGGCGGATCCTGCCCACTTTCAGCAGCTAACGCTCCCTGGAAGAAGCTGTCGGCAGCGACATATTTTCCTGCTATTACTGTTGCACGGGAATAACGGCTGCAGGTGTCCCAGGGAGTGGTGAGCTGGTGAACGGAGGGAGGGATGGCGCAAGAGCGGGGCTCCATCTGTTCATTGAAATGTGGCTCCGCCGAGGTTGTAGCATGAGATGCTCCGGTCTGGGTTTCAGCTGGGGACCAGTGTCTCATCGGAGACTCCTGAGGGTAAAGCCCTAGACTGGGGCGTGGGGGGGCCGAAATCCGGCTCCAAGCTGCCTTTCCTCCTCTGGTCTGTTGTGAGCAGTCTGTGATTTTGCTCTCCTTTCGTTTTCTGCAGGGGGGCTGTGGGATCTCGAGGCGCAGCCCACTTGTCTGGAGGTGGGGACCGGACCGGTGCGAACCCTGCTGACACTGGATGACACCGTGTGGGCCAGCTGTGCCAACCAGGTCACCGTGCTGGATGCTGCCAGCCTGCAGGCTCAGGTACCTCCGTGGTTCAGTGCCCTGTGCCGTGTGCAAGGCTGGGTGCCAGGTTTCCAACCTCCTTCAGGGTGGGGATTCCTTCCTTTCTGCCCTCCCCACAGCTCCTCGAACGACATGTTGGGTGACTGACCAGGTGGCCCAGATGAGGCCTGGACTAGGCTCCTTTTGGGGCTACACTGACCTGCTGTCAACTCCTCTCCCCACTCCTGCATCTGTGCGGAGCGTCCCAGGGAGTTTCTGGCCTGTGCTCTCTGCGTGGCTGCTCACAGATTGCTCAGGCTGTAAGATGCGGAAGGTGGCTGGGATGGGGTGAGCTTTGCTTGCACCCTGCGAGCAGCAAGGGGAGGGGAGATAAGAGTATCGTGTGATGGCTGAACATGCTGGGGTGAGCCTCTCTTCACTCTCACTCCTTGGGGTCACTGTGGTTTTAGCCCCACCAGCCCACGCAGCCCCAGTGCCGTCTCATCCTTAGCGCTGGCAAGTGTTCAGGCCAGCCGCTCTGGAGCGAGCCCGGCCTACCCCTGCACGCTCTTCCAGGAGTCCTTTGTCTCAGGCTTGCTCCCTACTTGCTTTGGTGCCCTGCGGCGTGAAGGCCGGAACGATTGCAAAGGAAGAGGCCAGTGCCTGGGGCAGCCTGGCTGTGCGCCCCTCGGGGCTCTGAGCAGCACGGGAACGGCACTTGGACAGCGGGCACAGAACCCATGGGAGCGTGCGGCCGGGCGGAGCTTCATGCTTTCAGTGCTCCTGCTCACCCGTGAGGTCCCTCTGACCCCTGGCTTCAGATGCGTCTGGAGGGTGACTGGACGTGGGGGGAGGAAGGGAACTGCCAGAAGCACTGGCCTGGGGAAGCGGAAAGGGGAGTGCAGCTGTGGCTGGTGGAGGGGGATGGGGAGGAAGAAGCAGCCCCCGGCAAGGTGTCTGGGGCAGGCATGCTGGGTGCTCAGTAGTGGCCAGGCGCCCAGCGCGACACTGGGGGCCCGGGTGGGTTGAGGCAGCGTGTGACGCTGTGGGGGTGGGTGAAGACAGCACCAGAGCTACGTAGGGAGGAGCCTGAGGACGGAGCTGCTCCAGGAGGAGTGTGGTGGGTGAGGACCAGCTGCAGGAGGGTGGGTTGGCAGAAGCCTGGAGAGAGCAGGGAAGTTGGCAGCATGACATGAGGCCTGGCTAAAGTATCTGGAATGCTTTTGGGGGGTGGCTGTTGGCAGTTCAGATCCTCCCCAGTGCACCCAGGGTCTCCTGCACCCAGGGAGATTGGCTAAGCCCTCCTACATCGTCCCAGATGCTCTGCCAGCCGGGACAGGCTGAGCTCTGCTGAGTCCACTCCCTCAGGAGCCAGCCGGCAGGGCCCCAGGCTTCAGCCAGAGGCCACTCCGCGAGTGCCTCCAGGTGTGTCTACAGACCTGAGCTTAAGCTAGCGAACTTCAAATAACAGCTCTTTTGACGCTGCGGCAGGCTGGGCTTGCTGTGTGGATAGAATCATAGAATCTCAGGGTTGGAAGGGACCTCAGGAGGTATCTAGTCGCACTCCCGGCTCAAAGCAGGACCAATCCCCAACGAAATCATCCCAGCCAGGGCTTGGTCAAGCCTGACCTTAAAAACCTCTAAGGATGGAGATTCCTCCGCCTCCCTAGGGAACCCATTCCAGTGTTTCACCACTCTCCTAGTGAAAAAGCTTTTTCTAATATCCAGCCTAAACCTCCCCCACTGCAACTTGAGACCATTACTCCTCATTCTGTCATCTGCCACCACTGAGAACAGTCTAGATCCATCCTCTTTGGAATCTCCTTTCAGGTAGTTGAAAGCAGCTATCAAATCCCCCCTCACTCTTGTCTTCTGCAGACTAAATAATCCCAGTTCCCTCAGCCTCTCCTCATAAATCGTGCTCCAGCCCCCTAATCATTTTTGTTGCCCTCTGCTGGACGTTTTCCAATTTTTCCACATCCTTCTTGTAGTGTGGGGCCCAAAACTGGACACCTACTCTGGACTGTACCTACTCTGGGACCCAGGCAGCTGGTACAGCCCATGCTGGCATGGTTTTACTGCTCTTCTTGTTGGAGTGAGTTCGGTTAAGGCTAGTTTGGCTCCGTCTACACATGCTGCAGTCATACTTCCCAACTGTAGTGTAGACAGACCCATGGGTCTGGCCATCAACCCGGCTGCATTGCTCAGGGGTGTGAAAAAGCCACGCCCCTGAGCGACGTAAGTAAGCTGACCTGAGTCCCCGCATAGACAATGCTGGGCAGATGGAAGAATTCTTCCGTCAACCTGGCTACCACCTCTCGGGGTGGTGGATTAACTACAGCAACGGGAGAAGCCCTCCCATCGGCATTAGGCAGTGTCCACAATGATGACTCTGTACTGCTGTAGTGTTTCAAGTGTAGACAAGCCCGCAGTGCGTCTGCAGTGACTGGCTGGGCTCCTGGAGACGGGGGCAGCCCTTCCCCTATGCCCAGAAGCCGAGCCAGCCCCCTGAAAGACTGCAGAGAACTCTTTCTGTGACTGGCTCAGCCAGCTCCGGCTTGCCTCACCTGTGAAAGACCAAGGCAGGATTTGCAGGCAGTGCCCTGCCTGGCCACTGCCTGCCGCTGTTGCTGTGCACAAGCTGCGGTGGCTGGAGGCGTTCTCTGGGCATTTCCAGGGCCTCCATCCCAGGCCCGCTCCCACGCTGTCTAATAGCAGGCCTCTGACGACGGTGCATTTCTCGGCTGAGCACTCCCCGCACTCTGACCGGCCACTGCCTTCCTCGGCGCACTCCCATGCTATTATGGAGATGGAGATGGGCTGCTTCCAGGCTGCGTGTGCCCCGACCTCTCTGCCGTCTCATGCCTAATGGGCTGTGATTTGATTGGAAATGTCCCTTGGCGTGCGGCGCGGGTATGGGAGGGGAGCATTCTCACTTCTATTAGAGCGCTGGGGCGCACTGTTCGTTAACTGGCCTCCCCTGCCCGCCAGCTCCCTGGCTGGACCAAGTTAACCATTTGTTGGTTGAATGGGACAGATCGGCTGGCCCTGACTTGTCTGTGCAAATGGGCGTGGCACCCTCATGTTCCAGTGATTCCACAGGTCATAGTGGCAAGAGATGGTCAGAAGCTTGGCTTGGCAAACCCAAAGGCAGGGGCGGCATCTAACCCACTGGCAGTGAGTGGGGTTGCCCCCTGGGAGCTGTCTTGCGCTGTTTGTACAATGCCAGACAAAAGGGGTCCTATTCTTGGCTGGTCTCTGGGCATTTCCATACTACAGATAACTGTAGTAGCTTAGCCCACAGAGAGGATAAGGGATCTACTACTACAAGTGGTTGAAGGAGATCTCCTTTAGCTCCAGTAAAGGCCTGTTCTGATGGAGCGTGGGTTTAACAAAGACCACGTCCTTGGAAAGCCCTAGCGGAGGGGATTATAAAAGCCCACGTGAAGGTGACGCTCGTCCAGGTCAGTCTGAAGGTACTAAATGCCAGGCTCAAGGGACTGCAGACTGCAGTCCTGAGCCGGGTGCTGAGTTCAGGGTGCAGTGGGCTCGCTAGAAGGGATTCAGAGGTCCCGCTGAGTTGGGGAGTGGGTGTGCAGGAGAAGCGGAGGCTTTAAAATAGGCTTTTATAGTCTGTTGCTCTTTCTGGCTCTGAAATGGTTAAATACAAATGCGGCAGCCCCCGTAAGACTCTCCAGTGCCCAGTAAGTGCCAGGGCGTGTGTGGGAGCGGGAGCTCTCAAACACTGCCCATGCCCCAGAGCTCATGGCACACCGCGCCCCAGCCTCCCACGGCTGGTACTGCCAGGCTAACTTTGCGGGACCCCTTAGCCATGCCGCAGACTCAAGTCTCAGATGCTAAAGATGGCGTAGCTGGCAGCACCCCACGTGCCCCCTGGCGAGGTGACACTGGGCTCCACTCTGAGCCAAGCTGGAACCCAGGCCCTGAGATTTTATGTGCCCCAAGCTTAGGGGACAAAGAAGCATTTAAGGCCGCTCAAGAGGCTTCCTGCTGGGCGTGGTTCGGGCAGCCGGAGCTTGGGTTTGGCCGGCTGGCGTTTCTGTCCCTCGCCTGGCCTGTGCATGCTCTCAGTGGGAGCTGCTGGCGACGCTCCACCAGCGAGGGGTTGTTCAGGGTCAGGTGGAGTCCGCGCTGGGGCACGTGCATGGGCCAGGCCCTCTGCAGTGGGAGCCAGGCTGCCCTAGGCTAGATGAGCTGCGTGGCTGCAGCTCGTTAGTCGAGCAGAACAAGCTTCCAGCTGACGATGGGCTGGGCGGCATCGTGAAGGGGCTTTTTATTGTTTTCCCGCCTCTCTGCGTTGGAGCGCAGGTTCCCCTGCAGCACGTGCCTCTCTCCAGCTGCGGTAAGACCTTTTCTCCCGTAGAGAGCTTTGCGCCGCCCACTTGAACTCGGGCGCCGGACCTGACGTGCCTGGGTTCTGAGCTGCTGACCGCCGGATCGCGAGCACCCCATCACATGACTGCGCGGCAGCGGGTCCGTGGGGCGGAATCGGTCGCATCCGCTCAGGCTGGTGGCCCGGGTAAGGCTCTCATGAGCCCCTAAGGAGCCAGCCTGGCTCTGGGAGAGGGGACTGCAGCCTGTTCCTTCCTTCTTTCTTCCTCTTGAAGGGCCACTCAGGTACACCTGTGCAAACCCACCCATGGGGGTTGCCCAGCTACCATCAAAGGAATAATTTTGGCCTCCTGGCCCTGGTTGCTGGGGAGGACGGGAGAGCTGGAGAGAAGCTACCTTGACTCCCTAGTGCCAGGTGGGGTTTGTAGGGTCCACACTTTGAACCCCCACCCCCCAATCCCCACTCCTGTCTCTGTTTAAACTTGTAAATTGGAGCTCGGGGCCTTGGAGATAAGAGAGGAGCCTGAGGTGTTTGTGCTTCTAGTCCCGTTTCTGAGGAGGAATGCACTTTAACCCCCACAATGCTGAGGAGAGGGGGTATTGCAATTGTACAGCGGGGGACGCTCTGGTGCGCTAGGGACCTTCCAGTAGCGCAGCTGTATCGATGCGGCTGCACTGCTGTGAGC